ATTAGTTCTCCTATAAATAGAGAACGTTGGAAGATTTTGTAAAATATCCAAGAATATGCTGAATGAGCTTTAATGAGCATTGAGTGAGCAATAAGTGTTGTGAGCCTTTTGTAATCCTTTTGGGTTTTGATATTTCCAAATATTGATCTTGAACTCCCGTGGACGTAGGCACATTGTCAAACCACAAAAATCATTGTCTTCCTTGTGTGTGTTTTGCTATTATTTACTATTTGTTTTTTATTTGTTTCACGCTTATGCACAACACCATTTGCGCACACAAATACTATTTATTGTGTTTGTTATATAGATTAATATTTTGGTTTTATGCTATCATTAACTATATTTAGTATATACTTATAAATATATTAGTATCCAGTTTATAAATATTTTATTCACTTTGTTCCCAGGTTCGAACCCGTTCATCGCCATTATAATCCTGACTGAAAGTGTTGCTGAGGTGTGGGGCCGTCGACAACATCCCTGATTTGTAGCCTAGGGTGGGTCCCGAAGGGGCCCTGCCCAGGTGAGTTTCGGTGCTAGCAAATAATAATAATAATAATAATAATAATGAAAAGGGGAAAGTTGAATGGAGTAAGTTGTGGATGCAAATACTTTTGTTTTCTTTTTGGTAAGATACGAATTTAAATGCTTGTAAATATTTAAGTCAAGTTTCTAAAATTTTTAGTCCTTCCTTGACGTTTAAATTTTGTCATTTTAATAGGTTTACCCTTGCAAAGGGGGCAGCAAAATGGCTTGAATAGTATCGGAAAAGAACATTAAGTTGTTTTGTTTTCATTATTTATTTAAACAAAATTAAGGTCATTTTCTCTATAAGGACTATTGCATCCAAGTAACTCTCTGTTATCATACACACACACACATATATATGTATGTGTGTGTATATCTCTCCTATTGTATATCTTTGCATCTCAATTAGGGGATTTAGTTGTGTTTTATGTATTATTTGAATTTTGGGCAATCTATGATCATTCTTTTTCTTCACGGAATAATAGAGTTTAGTATAACAATAGAGGTTTCGCTTATGCTCTTGTATTAGGCTCGGGTTCAAGGGCGGAGGGAGGGGTGGGCGAAGGTGGGCTTCAGCCCACCCCAAAAAAGAAATTTTTTTTTTTTACCATACTACTTTTAGCCCAGCCCAAAAAAAAAGAAAAATTAGCCCACCCAAAATTAACCCAATATAGAATTAGCCCACCCCAATCAGCAACCCTGGATCCGCCCTTGCTCGGGTTGCAGCTGGTTTTCAAGTCAAGCTTCGACAAAGCGAATGGAACATCCTCTAAATCATTAGGTGGTTCTGGCCTCACTGAAGGCTTGAAGGTGTTGTTTCATACTAATTTGTTCCAATGTATTTTTGTCTTAAATGTCAACCATCAAAACTATTAGTATTATTATTTCTGGATTCGAAATTGCTTTTGATTCTTATGCTACATCTGCGATTTCTTTTGAAAATAGCTTATTCTTCTTTTTTTCTATTTTTTATATATATTTTTTATTTGCTTGTTTATTTTGATTGATTTATGTATGTCATATTTGCATGTCACATGGAAATCAAATAGCCACATTGGAACGTCGCATGACACTTTGAAGTAGAATTTTTTCGTTTTTTAAGCTATCAATCTATCATGAAAAATGGCAATCATCTTGCTATATCGACTATCTCGGTTTCAAAGAAACCTAAATGTGATCACATCACATTTCATGAAGCAAGGTGAGGTCTCCTCTTTTCCTCGATGGCCCATTTTAGGCGCTTGGCTTTACTTTTGATGCCAAAAAAAAAAAGTGCAATGGGGTCATTCAAATTCAAGGGGAGATCCTAAAGCGTTAGTGACTCTGATGTTCACGAGGAGGTTGTGTGATGAAATTTCATATAATCATGACACTGGACTTTCCACAATTCTTAATTTTTTCAAGTTACAACTTGCTGGTTGCAGATTCTTGAGAAGGTTGAAGTAGCTTATGACACCCCATAGTGACTGACGTGCATGAGTCTATCCAGGTAATCTCCCTCCCTTCTCTTCTTTCAAACACTAGTATTCTATGTATGCATATTCTTCAAGATTCAATTTGTCATGCCATCAAAGATCTATGGATTACCTATTAAGAGTAATTTAGCAATAGTCAAGGGCGGAGCCGAGATCTTGAGGTTGGGGGTCCAAAATTCTGTGCTCCTTCAGTAAGTGAATATTTTCATTGCATTGTCTACTACTGAGGCGGAGTACACGTGGTACGCTTCCCCAACTGGTTAGAGGCTTTATTGCATTGACGATCATGTATATTTGCAGGTCATAGTAAATTCTGCTGATAAGGTTAGATTGGCTGGAAATCAAATTGTCATGGTTTGTGAAAGAGGAACGATGTTTGGGTACAGTGAGTAATATTGAATTTCATATTGAATACCATATGCCTCAGGCTTGGTGAACCATATATTAATTTAAGAGTGATGGGTATGGAGGCTTTATGTATTTCCAAATTCTCACTGGACTTAAATCTTATGAAGAGCAAAATGGATTGAGTAGTATCGGAAAAGAGTAAGTTGTCCTGTGTTTCATTATTTATTTAAAACAAAATTAAGTTCAGTTTGATAAATTTATGCAATTGTTGGTACTTGATTGGCAACAATTTTTTGTCATTGATTGAACATTTATTCAAATTGATTAAGAAAAGTGAGTAGAGATGAAAATAATGAAGAAATCTTCTTCCCTTTGATTTACTTGAGAATATGTCCAAGTACAGGGCAATTTGCACAGCAAGTCTATAACCATATACTAGTACAATATTAGATTCAACAAGGCTTAACTAGGTTTGTTTTAAATGCATCACAAGAGCTCCCAACACTATGTATGTTGTAAAAAGGACACTATATGTAATTTTTAATTACCATCACATTAAAGCAATTACATATACCGAGTTTACCACAGTTAAATATGCTAAAGTAAGTAAATCTTCTCAAACATGCAAAAAAGAATGAATATTTCAGATGGTAGCATGCATGAGAACTAGTGTTGGTTTAATATATGCTTGAGCATTGAACTAGTGAAACTGAACAATTCAAGTTTTTGATTTTAGACATAACCAAAAAGCTCAAATTAAACATGAAACTCCACACCCCACCTTCCTAGCACTACATACATAGAGGACTTGGACTAGATCAATCCAACCAGATACCCAAAAGTTGAGCTGAGGACAACATTTATGACATGGATACAAGTTTACATACTTGATTTATATATCAAAGCAAGAATAAACGTAGCTATATATTTCGTCTATATCAAATTCATCTTCATCTTCATATTTCGTCTATGAGAAATTTCTTGGCACATGACAAGCATTGAAAATTAACATGTATGCATATCTACACGGAGACTCGAACATGCCAACTCAGGACTATTACCACTAGCTTTGAAGGCATAAAAAGCATGTGTTATCACTGTATTGGGCTTAAAGCACGCTCCGTTGGGCTGAATCGAAAAACAATCTGCTGCAGACCCAAAAACATAGTTCATGTGGCTTCTTGAATGATTGGGTTAGGCACACACTGGAGAGCTATGCTTGGGTTGGAACATTGGTCGGATCAGAAATCCGGTAGGGGATGGAACGTTAAAGGGTGGGCTTGGAACACAACTTGGGCTCAGAGCAGGCTCAGTTGAGCAGGCTAAGGCCTAGTCCCCTATCTATGTTCCAAGCCCAACTTGTTACTAGACTAGGCTTAGCCCTCCAAGTTGTGTTCCAACTTCCAAGCCCACCACCCTCTAACGTTCCATCCCCTACCGGATTTCTGATCCGACCAATGTCCCACACTCACTCTCTCTCACTCTCTCTCTCTCTCTCTCGTGTTGTGTTAAGTTGTGGTCGATACAAGACCTTTAAATTATAAGAAACATTTATGTTGGATTATATGCAGTTTAATATACAACTTGGTTGCATATGCATATTAATGAGTAAAAGTAAATTCATATTAATGAGTTATTAACGATGTATATGCCTATTAAAAGTTCACATGCTATAGTATGCGGTATTAATAAGCCAAAAAAAAATTCATACTTATATATGCAATGGTAAAAAATTCACACCTACAAATAAAATAAAATAAAAAGTCCCTTTAGGATAAATGCCCCACCATGCATTTCATATAAAAATGGCAAAATTAAATAATTAGCCAAACCTTTTTTAACTTGTCCACAAGTCACTAAATTATAGTAAATTTTTTTTTTTTTTTAAAAGGAACGCATTTGAACTTGAATCCTCAATTTTATTGTCAAGAAATTCCTTACTAACTCAACTGAATTATCTATTCATTGGATCGTAATCAAATCTATTTATATTTCACACGCGCAGTTCTGAACCGTCAAATTTTTTTGGTTGAAAAGAGAAGAACATATCAACCAGGCAACATATTCAAACATTTTTATTTTCTATAATTCAATTAATTTTAACAGGATAAAACATTTGAGATAATTTCCAATATTTAAAAAAATAATAACCCACCACTAGTATGATTTACTACGAAGTTCGGACCTATTCAAATTCGTTTCAATAGAAAAGAAGTAAATCGATATACCGTATAAATGTAGAGTCAGTATGTGCCCGGGGCACATACACCCCTAAGCCCCACCCGCTACAATACATAAAAAAAATTATTTTTACATATATATACATAAATTTCTACATAATGACCCCTTAAAATTTTAGTTTCTAAATTATGTCTTACTATTTTTGTTTTTTCTGCTTTTCTGTTTTACTCTTTAAATTTCTTTAATTTTTTTAAAAAAAGTTAAATTTTTCTTCTCTAATTCAACTCCAATTTTTTTCCTTTCAAAGATTTCATTTTACTTTCCTTTTTTTTTTTATCATTATTTTTTTCTTTTCTGCTTCCTAAAATTCTTCTTTTTGTTACTTGATTTGACAAACTATTTTTGTCATGTCAAATTTATTTATTTATTTATTATTATTATTATTATTTTTTTACACAATGCCCCCCAAAAGTTGAAATCCTGCCCCCGGCCCAGCTCACAGTACTGCTACTCCCTCTCTCTCTCTCTCTCTCTCTCTCTCTCTCAACTTCCCGGTTAGATCTCAGATTATTAGACTCAGATCAGATCCTAGTTGCGAAGGTAGATTCATTTTGATTCTTGGTATATTATCGGTGAGTGATATCAAATTTGCAGTTTTGATTTGTTTTAGTTCTTCACGATCCGACTCTTTCTCACTACGTGTTTGGAAAATGTACATTTAATCTAATATTCAGGAACAGAACAACGAGATTCAGAAATATGGATTCGTCAACAATGCTATTCAACCAGCTCAAGGTTTCTATTTGAATTTGCATATAATCAATCAATCAATCGTTTTACATTTTTTGAAGGACAAAATCCACCATCGGATTGATTGTTTTCTCAATTCAATCTTAATGAACAGACGGCAGAACCATTCTTTTTGTTAGCGGGTCCCAATGTGATCGAATCAGAGGAGCACATTTTCAGGATGGCCAAGAACTTAAAGACTATCGCATCCAAGTAACCCTCTCTTTATATATATCTATACACATACATATACATATATATGTATGTATGTGTGTGTGTATATCTCTCCTAGTGTATATCTTTGCATCTCAATTAGGGGATTTAGTTATGTTTTATCTATTATTTGAATTTTGGGTAATCTATGATCGTTCTTTTTCTTCATGGAATAGAGTTTAGTATAACAGGTTTCACTTATGCTCTTGTATTAGACTCGGGTTGCAGCTGGTTTTCAAGTCAAGCTTCGACAAAGCGAATCGAACATCCTCTAAATCATTTCGTGGTCCTGGCCTCACTGAAGGCTTGAAGGTGTTTGTTTCATACTAATTTATTTCTGCATTCGAAATTGCTTTTGATTCTTATGCTAAATGTGAGATTTTCTTTTGAAAATAGCATATTATTCTTCTTTTTTTTTTTCCTATTTTTTTTTTCTTGTTTATTTTGATTGATTTATGTATGTCATATTTGCATGTCACATGGAAATCAAATAGCCACATTGGAACTTCGCATGACACTTCGAAGTAGAATTTTTTCGTTTTTTAAGAAGCTATCATGAAAAATGGCAATCATCTTGCTATATTGACTTTTTCGGTTTCAAAGAAACCTAAAAGTTATCACATGACATTTCATGAAGCAAGGTGAGGTCTCCTCTTTTCCTCGATGGCCCATTTTAGGCGCTTGGCTTTACTTTTGATGCCCAAAAAAAAATTGCAATGGGGCCATTCAAATTCAACGGGAGATCCTAATGCGTTAGTGACTCTGATGTTCACGAGGAGGTTGTGTGATGAAATTTCATATAATCATGACAGTGGACTTTCCACGATTCTTAATTTTTTTAAGTTACAACTTGCTGTTGCAGATTCTTGAGAAGGTTAAAGTAGCTTATGACATCCCCATAGTGACTGATGTGCATGAGTCTATCCAGGTAATCTCCCTCCCTTCTCTTCTTTTAAACACTACCATTCCGGGTTTGCATATTCTTCAAGATTCAATTTTTCATTCCATCAAAGATCTATGGATTACCTATTAAGAGTAATTTAGCAATAGTACTGCATGCAGCACTTTTTGTTTATTTGTTTTTTCCCTGCTTGGTCTTCTTTCCACCTCCGGAAAGGTGCGTTAAACTTCATTATCATGTGTATGGGTATTATATGTGAGACACTTGTCCTTATCAGCAATGACATGCCCTTTCTTAATGTGGCTGGAGATACACTTGATGTGATTACAACACCAGTGTGGAACAGAGCACAAGATGTCCATTGCATATGGATGTACGGGGATTTCAACTTATGTCCGGGTTTATCCTGAAAAAATTGTTCCTTTAATGACATTATCAATGCATTTCTCTCCATCCGTTAAGTTGGTTGAAAGCTGCCCGGCCTAGCCCTTTGACATAATTAAATTTTTTTAGGAAAAAGATTTTATGCCATTTTTTAAATTTTGTCAATTGCTTTATTAAGTAGACTCTCTACCTAATGGGTATTTCTGAGGACCTTTGTCATTAAATCTTAAAAGATGTGCTGTGTTATTATTTTTGTAGCCAAGGTTTTCATATGTTTTAATTTAAAAAGGAGATAAAGGGAACATGAGAAAGTGAATTTGCTACTATAATGTACTCTCTATTGGCAAAAAATTCTTGGTGTTGGCTCAACCTATAAATCTCACTCTGTATTCTTGGCTTTCATCCATATTGTTCTTAGTATCTTTAGTATTTTTATTCCTATGTTTTTATTCTAATGCCAACTTCGGATAATAAATGATTATCAAAGGAATGATCTAGAACTGTTATTCAACATGGAATGAACTATCTCTTAACATTTTTCTTTTTCCCAGTGTGAAGAAGTTGGCAGAGTGGCAGATATAATTCAGATTCCAGCTTTTTTATGCCGACAGGTAAAAACAACAGTAGATTAGTTGTCACCATTGCCCGGTGCTCCCACTATAAAAAAATTAGTGATTTTTTTGAAGGATGTATTGATGTTCCTTTCCTAGATGGATATCAATTGATGTTAAATTAATAGATTTTATGACCTCTTGGAATGACAGACAGATCTCTTAGTTGCAGCGGCCAAGACTGGAAAGATTATCAATATCAAGAAAGGCCAATTCTGTGCTCCTTCAGTAAGTGAATATTTTCATTGCATTATCTACTACTGAGGCTGAGTACACGTGTGAGAAACGGTCGAGAGCTATCTCTGTGTTATACGCTTCCCCAACTGCTTAAAGCCTTTATTGCATTGACGATCATGTATATTTGCAGGTCATGGTAAATTCTGCTGATAAGGTTAGATTGGCTGGAAATCAAAATGTCATGGTTTGTGAAAGAGGAACGATGTTTGGCTACAGTGAGTAATATTGAATTTCATATCGAATACCACATGCCTCAGGCTTTTGAACAGTTCTCTTGGTGAACCATATATTAATTTAAGAATGATGGGTATGGAGGCTTTAGGTATTTCCAAATTCACACTCGACTTGAATCTTAACGACCTTAGGACCAAAAGAAGATGTAGCATGATAATGAATTAACACAAGGCTGGAAGTTTTTTTTTTTTTTTTTTCATTTATATTTATTATTATATTTTGTCTACAATTTTTTTCCATTGTTTTATACTTTTATAAGCTTCCACATGATTACTCATACTACCTGTGGAACCAATGCTTAACTGAAGTTGAATTAATAAAAAAAAAAATGTTATTCAAGTTACAGTTTTTCTTTTGAAATTTGTATACTCAGGACTCTACTCCTGAATACCATGTCTTTCTTTCAACCTTCTTTGAATCAAGGTGTTTATGCTCAAAATTGCCACTCATCTATTAAGTTCTTTATTACCTGAAGTTTATCACAAGGCCAAAGGTACAAATTTGTTCTAAGCGTGTCTTGTCTACATTCATTTGACGCATTATTTTTTTCATATGTTTTGCAGATGATTTGATTGTTGATCCACGCAACTTGGAGTGGATGAGAGAAGCTAATTGTCCTATTGTAAGCATACTATTTATTACTTGGTCATTTTATAATGTGATCTATTGTCATTGATATAATAATGTTCTTATGGTGGCATTTTTGCATGCTGCCTACAGTTGGATTATGTTTTTCTGAGGGGCTTCACCATCTGATCGAAGTATTTCACTGTAGGTGGCTGACATCACGCATTCATTGCAACAGCCTGCTGGGAAAAAGGTGCGGATTTGCAATAGCCTGTTGTTTTTGCTTGTGTTTATTTTTGCTGTTGTTATAAAGACGCACTAAGCTGCATTAGTAATATGAATACTTAGAGTAGGCTCAAACTAACAACTGTGAGGTTGCAGGTTCAAGTCTCAGAGCAAAAACTGTGGTTAAAAAAAAAAATGTAAAGATAGGTCTTTCTTCAGTATTTCTCTCCTAACGCTTTCATAGTAGGACATATACTGGGAAATGAATAGACTTTGTAATGCTTTAAAAACTAAATTACATCTAAATGTCATGTATTTCATTGATAATTCTCTTAGGAATTAGGATAACCGTATCCGTCTGAGGGAAGAATGACAGAAGCATAATAGTTAGTGGGCTTATGATGACTCAAAAGTCAAAACTATTATAGTTTTCGAACAAATTTAGACATTTTTTTATTCAATTATTATTTCTTTTTTCTTTTTCTTCTTGTTTAGATTCTGTTGCATCTCGTAGCAGTCGCTATCTTTTCCCTTATTTCATCACCTTCAACTGGCTGTAGCTTGCTAAATCAAGTTTACTACTGAATGTTTCTTAATTTGTTTGCCCTATAATTACCTGAAGATCTTCTTTCTCAAATAGCTGGAAGGTGGTGGTGTTGCGAGCGGAGGTCTTCGTGAACTAATACCATGCATTGCAAGGACAGCAGTTGCTGTTGGAGTTGATGGAATTTTCATGGAGGTACAGAATCAGAATCTTTTCTGTAACTCTGAATTTTAGTGTCTGTTCTGGCTTAAATTTGTTGTTTTATTAGGTTTACTTAATCAGAGATAAAGTATTTGAGAATACTTAATATAAACGAGACAATAGTTTATTGCAAAATATACTGAAATGAGTAGGAACTGTTGCAAGTATACAAGAAAAATAAAGGGGGACAAAAAGGAAAAAGTAAAAGAAAACACAACAAAAAATGGTAGTGGTTATCAGAAACCTAGTGGCAGGCTATAAACCATCTACTGATCGAAGTAATGAAGGATTAAAACCTAAACTTCTTATCTCCTAACACCCTGACCAAATTACCTCCCTTTTCAAAATTCATTGAATAGTACTTGGTGTCTTCTTCACAGTTCTTTCTCTACCTGGTTCTGATTCAGTGCAGAAACCCAAGCGAACAATTTCCTTCCATTTTTCTTACTAGATTGCCTGTTTTTTGAAGTTCCTGTTATGATATAACATGCATCTAAGAAGAATGGACACAAGCACGGACATAATATGTAGAATTTTAATTAATTTATAATTTTTAAAAATTTTTTTAAAGTGTGACACGGACACACGACTAATATAAATATAATTTTTTATTTATATGTAGAATTTTAATTAATTTATAATTTTTATAATAAAGTTATATAGGTTAGAAAAAGAGGTTCAACACTTTGATGTATGTTTTTATTGTCTCTAAGCTGTGATGTGTTTGTTTTATAGAAGACAAAATGCAGGATGTGTTGGTCAAGTATCCGGAATGTGTTAACCAAGTGTCTGAGATGTGTTGGCTAAGTGTCCAAAGTAATAAATATTATTTTTAATTTTTTACACGGCCGTGAAGGTCAGGCGTGTGTTAAGGGGTGTCCATGAAGTGTCGGTGTCCTAATTTTTCTCACACTTTCATTAGTAACTCTATCTCTTCTAGTTACTCCAACCATCCATCATAGTATTCTCATTTTCTGCTACATGAATGCATTGGTCTTGTTTATTTCTTGAATCCCAACATTTGGTCACATATACAATAGTTGGCCTAATAACAATTCTATAGAATTTCTTAACCTATTTTTTATTCTATTATCACATAAAATGCCACTAGTTTGTCTCTATTTTGTGCATCCTATTCCAATTCTACTTTTTATATCACCTATTTATCTCTCTGTCCTTCTGTTCTATTGATCCTAAAAATCAAGATTGATTATTTTGAATAATCCTTTGGTTTTGAAGCGTGATAATTTTATTATCAATATATTCTTTATTAAATTTACATTTCATATACTCGGTTTTAGTTCTACTAATTTTTAATCCTTTTGATTTTAATGCATTTCATCACATTTCTAATTTTATTGCTAAGCCTTCTTAGAAGTATCTAATACTACTATATCATCGACAAACAACATGCACCACGAAATGTTTTTTTGTTATTTCATCTAAAATTGTTATAAATGAATATAGGCTTAATATGCAATCCCATGTTTATAAAAAACTTACTAGTCTCACCACATATGGATGGACTCTAGTTTTTGTATTCATATACATAACTTGGATATTTTTACTATTTGTATTGGAATTTGTTTTCTTTGTAAAGTCTACCAAATTATATCTCTTGTTATCATATGTTCTTTTCCGAGTCTATGAAAATCATATATAATGATCACATTCAATCCAATTTGGTAATCGGAAATCGTGTTCCTTCCTTAATTCTATGATCCTTTTCCATGATTGATTACGACTTATGGGAGATATGCTCTACCTATATTGTAACTGTAACGCTATATGGGGGGATAACCACCGGTTGTTAGGAAGGTGAAAGCAAGAATGGATTCTAAAGTTGTTGCTCTTATTCGATTTGGCTACCGGAGGATATGAGATAATAGTCTCTAGATTCGCTTCTTGCTTTCACACTTGGGAAAAGCTATTAAAAAAGGTTTTTGAATTTAATTTCTCTATAATTGCCGCAATATTTTATATGCCTCTTATTTATTTTTTTCCTTGGCAAGGAACTCACACACCCATTTGTCCCTACTTACGGACTCAAACCCTCACCTTCTACTTTGGGAGGTAGAGGAGATACCACGTAAGAATGGATTCTAAAGTTGTTGCTCTTATTCGATTTGGCTACTAGAGGATATTAGATAATAGTCTCTCGATTTGCTTCTTGCTTTCGCACTTAGGAAAAGCTACTATTAAACAGTTTTTTAATTTAATTTCTCTATAATTGCCGCAACTTTTTTATATTCCTTTTATTTTTTTTCTTTGGTAAGGAACTCACACGCCCATTTGGCCCTTACGGACTCAAACCCTCACCTTCTACTTTGGGAGGTAGAGGAGATACCACTAGGCTATAACCTTTGATGGTTATTCATTTTATTTTTATAATTGTTACTATTTTGCTTTTTCTTCACTAATGTGTCATCATTCCTCCTAGAATTTTGTTAAACAAATCTGTTAGCCACCCATTTCCTACCTTTCCTAATGTTCTCCATGCCTCTATAGGTATGTTATCAAAACCTACCACTTTATTGTTCTCAGCTAAAGGTAAATGTGGCCAAGAGTGTGCTTGTCCTCGTCGGGAATGTTCAGGACATCTTTTCTTTAGCTGCAGTTCTTGGGTGTAGGGTGAGTTCCTTTCCTATTCCTTATTTGGGATTGCCCTTAGGGGCCTTTTCCAGGATAGTGGGGAGCTAGGATTCTGTGATTGATAGGTATGCAAAGAGGTTGGCAGGTTGGAAGAAGCAATATTTGTCTAAGGGGGGTAAAGTAACTCTTATCAAGAATACTTTATCAAGTCTTCCCACTTATTTTCTTTCTATGTTCCAAATTCCATGCTCCGTTGTTGATAGAATTGAAAAAATTCAAAAGAATTTCCTTTGGGACGGAAGGGGAGAAGAGTTCAAGTATCACCTTGTTAGATGGGAGCAAGTATGCAAGCCTATAAAATTGGGTGGTCTTGGTATTAGACGATTGATTCCTTTTAATCAAGCTCTTTTGGGCAAATGGTTATGGAGATACGGGAAGGAAAGACACCGCTCTTGGCGTAGATTAGTATCTTGTCGGTATGGGGAAGACGTTGACGGTTGGACTACCCGTCCGGTTTCTATTACGGGAGGAGTTGGGGCCTGGAAATCCATTCGGAAGGGATGGGATGCCTTTTTCTCTCATATAAGATTCAGAGTTCGTGATGGTAGTTGCGTTCGTTTTTGGGAAGATCTTTGGTGTGGGAACCAGCCTTTATGTCGTACATTTCCCAAATTATACAGTATTGCAGTTGATAAACACGCCATTGTAGCTAACTGTTATCAGCTTGATAATAGTGAGATTACGTGGAATGTTCATTTTCGGCGTTCATTTCAGGACTGGGAGTTGGAAAAGGTAAGCATTTTCTTGGACCAATTGTATCGGCAGGAAGGAATTGGCAGGGGTTATGACAATTTGACATGGATTCCCTTTTCTCGCGGTCATTGTGAAGTAAGGTCTTTGTTCTTATGTTTGTCTACTTTTGCATCCTATGAGTTCCCATGGAAGACCATATGGCACTCTATGGCTCCTACTAGGGTGGCATTCTTTGTATGGACCGCCTTTTGGGGTAAGATTCTGACGATCGATAATTTGAGGAAAAGGGCAAATTGTTTTGTTAATCGGTGTTGTTTATGCAAGCAGGATGGGGAGTCAGTCGATCACCTCCTAATGCATTGCTCTGTAGCGCACGATTGCTGGAATCTTATTCTTTGCTTGTTTGGTATGTGTTGGGTAATGCCACGTTCTACTAAGGAGTTGATTTATGCTTGGAGAGGTTGTCGTATGAGTAGGAGTGTTCGTGATTATTGGAGATCTGTTCCACATTGTGTTTGGTGGTGCATTTGAAAGGAGAGAAATAGTAGAATGTTTGAAGGGAAGGAGTCGTCTACAACGACACTAAAACTTTTTATTATTCGTTCTCTCTTTAGTTATGTGAAGAGGAGTTCTTGTTCCTCTTCTGATGATTTAATTTCTTTTTTGGATTCTTTGGGGGCTTAGACCCGGTTTCTCTAATGTTTATGGGACGCATTCCCCTATTGAATGCCTTTTTAAATTTATTATTACTTATCAAAAAAAAAAAAAGTGTGTCAACTTCCTTCGTAGTTTCTTATTGGTTGATTTTATTTAGGGAAAATTCCACCCTAGTCCTACTTTTCAATCCTAAAGACAAAGTCCTAAAAAAATTTATAGGACAAAGATGTCCTACTTTACATAAATATTTCCAATCAAGTTTTATACTAAATAGAATTCCTATGTTACCCTTTTCATTTTACCCTTCTCTCAACCCCTTTCTCTTAGGGGTGCAAGTTGGGCTGGCCCAACCCAGCCCGGTCCCAACCCAACCTTAACCCGAATTCAGGTTGGGTTGGGTTGGGCCAACCCGAATTGCATCTAACATAGGTTGGGTTATAACCCGGACCAAATATTTTCAGGCGGGTCGGGTCGGGTCGGGTTCACGGGTTGATTTTTTTTTTTTTCACAGCCTTATAATTTTTCTACCATTTCTTCTAAATAGTATTTATCCACAATAACTATTGAAATTTGAAAAAATAAATTTATTGATTTAGTCTATGATTGGTATAATAGTTCGAAAGTTGAAGCATGGAAGAAGTTTCGAATACTTCTTGAATTAACAAAAGTCATTAGTATCACTATTATATGTCTCCCGAATTAAATAAATAGAAAATTTTAATAATAACCAGTAATTAATTTGAAACAAAAGAGGCATAACCATCCGGTTTGCAAAATTCCCAAACTCAGAACAAAAAAAAACTCTCACTGTGTGTGTGTTCTTGTTGATCGCTCTGGTCCTTTCCTTACTCTATCGCTGGCTGTGACTTGGTCCGACCTAGAAACCATGGACGATCTGGGAGCACTTGTTCTTGATCCAACGAAAATCATCTCTCAAAGAAGCCTTTACTCTGCCTTCAACAGTATAAACTTTGTATTTGGCTATTCGCCTCCTCCTCTTCATCTCTAGATCACAAAAAAAGGATCTTATCGTTCCGTCCGAGTCCCTCCGGTTTAAGCTCAGATCTCGCTGGCTTCTATGGATGGTTTAAGGTCAGATTTCGCCGGAGTTGCAGTTTGTTCGTCAATGTGAACTGGGTTTCACAAGGTAGCAGTTCTTGATTTCTGGATTCAAGTCTTGTGGAAGCTTGTTCCTGCCCTATGAATTGAGGCTGTCAGCTGTTTTTTATTCTGAAAATGGTGGCCATATATTAATTGAAATCTAGATATAGGGAGAGAAGAGAAGGATGAGGAGAGAGAAAGTTAGGGCTTCTGTTTATCATGAAATTTTTTATTTTTTTTATTTTTTTATTTTATGAAATGTTTAATTTGGGCTTTCGGGTTGGGTTCGGGTTGAACCCAGCCCAAACCGAATAAGGTTGGGTTTTGAAAAAATCCAACCCGACTGAAACCCGAATTATGAGTTTATATGTCTAGATTTTAAAATTCATAGGCTTGACTCGGGTTGGGCTGGGCTAGCCCGCCCAAGTTGCACCCCTACTTTCTCCCGACTGCAAGCTTGCGAACCCAGTTTGATTCAGTAGCCCCTATGCTCCACTATGCTATAATGTTTTGCTTTTTACATTTGCAATTAAAATCTTTTTGAACTAGTTTGATTTAGTAGCCCCTTTGCTGTAGCAACATTAAAAGGTTTTAACAAAAGTAATACATAAAAATCAAGCAGATTTTATTTCATTGCCGCTTGAAAAGGAAAAAAACTAAACTAGTTCAAGCTTGCCAACCCAGTTTGATTCAGTAGCCCCTTTCCTCCTCTATGCTATAGCAACAGATGTTTATTTCATAGCCACTTAAAAAGGAAAAAAACTAAATTCAAAACATATATTAGTTCTTTGGGCAGATCATCCTCATAAGCAACTATGGGGCTTTATGGATTCCGGTGACCATGGCATCCATTGATTCCGGCGGCAATCTACAATGTGTTTGTGGAGGAACGAATTTACTTCGGTGGGCGAGGTCGTAGGATTGGGTTTGGAAACAACTACAGATTGTCTTTATTGGCGAATCAATATGTAACGATACCAATGATCGACGGGGCAAGATTTGTGATGGCTGGCCATGAGCTTCCTTGGTCCTGGGTATGTGCAATTTTTTTTAAGAGAAGATCTGTGGCGGCACTTTTGAGAGAGATGATGATTGAGCAGTAGTTTAGTTCCTCTCTAAGCTATAATGTTTTTTTTTTACATTTGCAATTAAAATCTTTTGATGTGATGATGGACTGATTGTGATGTTTACAAGATATCATCTCTTGTATATGGTTTTCTATCATTTGTCTATTACTTCTCTGGAATTGGGTGCTTCACCGTCACTGGAGTTGTAATGGAGCTCACCATTGGGTTTTGCAAAGATGGGTCACGGTAGCGTGGGGACATTGCTTGGACGTCTCTATTTGGCTCCTGATGGAACTGGGTTCGCAAGCTTGCTGATTGCTTAAGGGAGAAAGGGGGTTGAGAGTGAGGGGGAATATGGAAAGGGTAAAATAGGGATTCTATTTAGTTTAGAACTTGATTGGAAATATTTATGTAAAGTAGGGCTTCTTTGTCCTATAAATTTTTTTTTAGGACTTCTTTATCTTTAGGATTGAAAAGTAGGACTAGGGTGGAATTTTCCCTTTTATTTATCATGCCTCTATTAAATTTAATTCTTTCTACTTCCTTTCTAGCATATTGATCATTTATTTGGTGTTAAAAATAATTTTTCCATCTAGCTAATATAATATTTTGTTTTCTTTAACTGATATTGTATTATCTAGGGCGAATTGCCTTTAAAGCCCCTAGACTTGTAACATTTGGCAATAAACCCCCTTTTTGAATTTTTTTCGCACAAATCCCCTCCAATTAACAAGCATTTGCTCAGCTATTTTTTGAGCCGAAAATGCCCCTTGCACATTATATAATATTAATAAATAAGCCTTGCTACGCTTTAATGTTACCATTATAATACTAAAATAAATTGTAGCACGAAAATGCCTCTTATAACGGTATATTTCTCTAGTTAATTAAACGAAGCAAATAAAACCCATTCAAGTCTCTTTCAATTGCTAGCCTGGACTCTCCTCTCCTTGAGTCTTTATATATACTTTGTGTATGTATTTATCTCATCAAACTTACCACTCTCTCATCCTCCTCTAAACATGAACATTATCAACAAAATATATAAACAGAAAAACAAAAGAAAACAAAACCAGCTTCCTGATCTAGAGAGAGAGGGTTTGAGTAGTAGGTAGGTGTCAATTTGGTCAGCCCTATCCACTGGAGAAGCAACCAATAGGACCACATTACGATACAGTAAAACACCACAGAAACCCTCCCATTTCAGAAGAGAAATGTATAAAAATGAACTGAAACTAAAACATAGAAAACACCAATAGGCACTAGCCTAGATGGTATAAGCTCTCCCTTCCCTTTGCAAAATATAGTGGGTGCATGTGTTTGATTGACCTTTCACAACACCAACCACCGCCCCCCCCCCCCCCCCCCCAAACAACACACACACACACAAAAAACCAAAAAAAAAAAAAAAAAAAAAATTGAACAAGAAGATAGCAGGGAAGTAGATACATGTACTATATTGTAATGTTGCCCGACTGGTGTCTTCTCCTATGATTGACCAAATCGACACCTACCTACTACTCAAACCCTCTGTCTATATCAGGAAGCTGGTTTTGTTTTTCTGCTTTTATATTGTTTTTGTTGATAATGTGCATGTATAGAGGAGGAAGAGAGAGGTGAGTTTGATGTGATAAATACAAGCATGGAGTATATGTAAAGACTACAAGGAGAGGAGAGTGGTGTACAGGCTAGCAATTGAGAGATTCAAAAGGGGCTTTATTGTCAATCGTTACAAGTCAAGGGGGGATTTATGCAATTCTCCCTATTATCTACTCCCTCCGTTCCATATTAGTTGTCCCATTGTGGTACTATAACTTTGAGTAGTGTAGCGGTCGTCGCTCTAGCGACTGCCAATGCATAGTCGCTCCAGTGATTGGCTAGAAAGCCAATCACTGTTGCCATGTGTATTTTTTTTTTTGAGTTCAGTTTCCTAATTCTACAGGAGTTGTCTGACAGGTCATCACTACCCCTACACTTTTAAATATACCCTTATCTTTGATAAATTTGCCATTGTAAATTTGTAAATTAGGCATTTGAGTCATTGTGATTTAAATTGATGGCATTAACTGTGTTTTGAAAGATGAGGGTATATTCAAAAGTGAAGGGTAATGATGGCCTATCATACAACTCCTATAGAATTAGGAAACTCAAAAATAACAAACAAATACACATGGCAACTATGATTGGCTTTCTAGCCAATCACTGGAGTGACTGTGCAAACCTGCTCTATAACCTTTTAAGGCCCCACATTCAATTAATGCATTGTCTTCTTTTAAAACTAACAAGACGTCTTTTAAGTTTAAATATGTATTATCAAATTGGGAGATTTTTGAAAACTTAAAAGGTAATCATGGAAACATAGCATTTATTTTTGCTTTGACTTTTCAAATAGGACCACTAATTTGGGACATCCCAAAAAGGAAGGAACAACTACTAATGTGGGACAGTGGGAGTGTGTTCTAATAAATTAATTTGGTCTGTGTCCCTAATTAACTTATCTCTACTCTTTGGCAATTTATAAATAGCCTTTTCACCCTCTTTGCATTTAATTTTTTATATAAAGCATTTAATGTATTTTGTTTAGCTTTACTTACTATCTTCTAGGCTTCACACCCCCCTCCCTCCTTTTTTGAGAAGGTATCCTCTTGGCTTCATTATTGAGTTTCTTATATTTCATCTAAATCCTCTTGTTACTTACTTTTTGCCATGCTTTAAAACTTTTCTTTTTTGTTGTATTACTTGTACTTCCTTAATCCACCAGACATTCAACTTCCCCCCACCCCCCAACATAATCAAACTGAACGATACACAAATACTTTCTTGACATATGGGGCATGAAATTTAAAATAAACCAATATAGTTTTCGGTATAAGTCCCTTTTAAAATACAAACATACCTCGCACAATTACATATACACCTCTACAGCTCTGTCCAAATAAGTTTTTGGCATTGCTTTGTCAAACACCCTATGTCCATGTCAATGCTTTACCCCCGTGCCCATTTCTACAAATCATAGCCACTGATGTTCTCATTGTATGATTATTACGAAATGACCAATATACTAGCATACTCTCAATGCAATGGTGCACATATTTGATTTGGATCCTATTAATTTGTAGAATACAAACTTGCAAATTTTAAGAGTATCATTCTTCAAAGCCCAGAATTCCTGGATTTTCCACTACAGCTTCTTTTTACCTTAATTTCTGCAGTTTAGGGCTTCTAACAGTTTTTTTTGGGGTGTTCAGGTGCATGATGATCCCCTAAATGCTCCAGTTGATGGTCCAACGCAGTGGGTAAGTTTAATGTGTTCTGCACTAGTAGGTGTGCATATATATACACGAAACACTTGATATAGTATCTTCTGAGATTCTATTATACATAGTGGCTTTTTAATTGGCAAGATTAATTTAATTAACTGTAAACCAATTAATGTTTCCTGCTTATATATGAAAACAGCCTCTTCGCCATTTGGAGGAACTGCTACAAGAGCTTTTGGCAATTGCTGTAAGTTATTCTACCCCTCATGTTTTCTTTAGCATTGGCATATAATATTCACTGTTCAAACACACATTTGGTGATGGAGAGTACGAACATTTAAAGATGATGGATAAAACCAGGAAAAAGAACCATAAGTAAATGAATTTACAAGAAGTTAAAGGTAGTGTCCATTGGGGAAGATTAGAGAATGTTGACTAGTATGGTTCGATACGTGTATCAGAAGACCATAATTTGTATCAACTTGGGTGACATTGGCAGAGAAGTTAGTGGAATGCAGGGGCAGAATAAAAAAATATTCATGAAGTCTGTAATTTTTATTGATTTGGGCGACATTGGCAGAAAAAATATATATATATATATATATTCCTGGGGGAGGGGGGAAATAGTTATATGAAATTATAAGTTTAAAACATTGTATGAGAATTGTAGTAAGTTTTCTTTAGTGTGTGTGTGTATTTTAAAGGGTATTCTCACTGAGCTTTGCATCCTTGTAACCATTGCATTAAGAAGTTGACCTCGCGGCTTTGTAATCCAATGATTTTAGGGTGCAAGCTATTTTAGAGCGTTCTCATAATAGTTTTTTTCTATTCTTAATATACCTAATACAACCTAAAAGTGAAGAAGGGAATACAACTAAAATAAATAGAGACCGTAAACTGATATGAGGAAAAAAAAAAAAGGTGGGGAAAACTTATATATATATATATATATATAATGAGAATATGCTGACAGTCAATAAATGAGACTCTCTAGTGTTGAACATTCCTTTTCTTCTCTCTTGAATTAATATATATAACAAATAATACATACATATATATATATATATATATTTTGATAAGTAAAAATAACATAAAAAAGGCATTCAAAAGGGGAACGCGTCCCAATTACAAAAGTGGAACCGGGACTAAGGCCCCAAAGAATCCAAGAAAGTAATTACATACATACATACATACATACATATATATATATATATATATATATATATATATATGAATGGAGTATTGATATGTTATAGTAAGGACCGCGATGACAATGAACACCTTCTTCTTCTTATTTTCCTAGTAGATTTGGATTTTTAAAAGTAAGACTAAAAAGATTTAATGGACTTTCAAGGGACCACATGTAATTTTCTTTTGCAAACTTATCATTAATAACCACTACCCACAAATCATTTTTATTATTTATTCATTTTGTATTGCAGCAGAAATTGAACTATTGAGATAATTATTGTATATTGTAATCTAGTTTTAAATATCGATATTTTGTTTATGTAATTATTGTATAGAATGTTGGTTCTGGTTCAGCACTATCTGGCGTATCTGTTACATTTAGTGGACCCTGGTGTTTTCAGAAACAGGGTTTTGAACAGTATATAGCGTACTGAATGTTTTGAGGCCCTTTGAACCATAATTGCCCAACTTTAAGAAAATAACATGTTGCATTTCATCAACACTTCACATGGAGACGAGAAAATAGTGTAATATATATTTAACCTCCAAGATTATTGCAGCAGAAATTGAACTATTGAGATAATTATTGTATAATATACTCTAGTTTTAAATATTGATATTTTCTTGATGTAATTATTGTATAGAATGTTGTTTCTGGTCCAGCACTATCTGGCGTATCTGTTACATTTAGTGGACCTTGGTGTTTTCAGAAACAGGGTTTTGAACAGTATAGTATACTGAATGTTTTGAGGCCCTTTGAACCATAATTGCCCAACTTTAAGAAAATAACATGTTGCATTTCATCTACACTTCACATGGAGACGAGAAAATAGTGGTAATATATATAACCTCCAGATGTATACTTTTTGATGTATCGTATCAGGATACCCTCAAGTTGCATAAATGGATAAGATGTTGCAACTTGATATTTATTTGCTCTTTCGGAAAAATCAACCCGTTAACACGTCCGAGTTGGTCAGAATGAGTGTCTAAAGGAATCTACTTTTATGGCAATGGAATGATCATTATTGTTTCCCATGATGACATTTGAATGCACAATTTCTCCCCTACTAAGCCTTCACAGCATTCGGTGCCATTTGAAAGCTTAGTTTTTGTAATATAACCTCCAGATGTAATTGCACATATGAAAATGTCATTCATCTAAATACATAATTTCTCTCATATGACTGTTATTCTTCATTGTTGTTAATTTCACTGATATCTTTTTTTCCTTCATATTTAACTTGGGATTTTAAAGAAGGTTAGCAAGGGGAAGCAACAGTTCAAAATTGATCTCACTCCTTTCCGTGATTAGAAGAAGTTCACGCGTCCCATGCATAAACAAAAACTGCTGGATACGGTCTCTTTTATCCGATCAAACCTTTGAGATGCAAGCAATGTAGTTTACAACTTCCATCTTGATGCTTCTATTGATGAGTTAACTTGATGTGTATTATCTGTGTCACAAAAAAATATTCTTCAATTAGGAAGTTATGAAAGCCGTTTCTTCTGCTCAGAGTATTGTTGACTTCATTTAATGGTTATGACCAACCTTTTGGTTGTTGTATTATGTATGGACATATTAAACATAAGTCTTCTCTGTATACAGACACATATATGTTGAGATTCTTCTGAATTATCAATGCATAAGGATAAGAGATAACTAGTTTTTTTTTCAGTTGGAATGTAACCGTCTCCATTAGAAGGTATCTGCTTTGCAAAGTCATTGCCTGTAGTCGTGGGATCTTATAAATCAGTGTATCCGAATGAAAGCTTTGTTATCCTCGAGTCGCTATAAGCACTGCCACCTTTTTCTTCCCTGACCTGCAAAAAGGCTTTTGATACTCATGGCTATAAGATCCTGAGTTTTGGACTAAAAAGAGTCACCACTTGTTCGTACGGCCATTGTGTGAATGTGTGTCTCTATGTGAGCAGGTATGGTGGTTACCGCACTTTCCATCTCTTGTTTATGCCTGCTAGAGCCAGATACTAACTTGAATTTGCAAGATCATCCCATGATTCTAAGACCGTTAATTTTCAGAACAAAAATCTATTGCTACTTAGCTAGAGACCATTGACTAGTAATCGAAAATCTTTTGTTACCTGGAAAAGAGTGGGCAACCAGAAAGCGAAACGGATTCAGGTTGAATACTTGAATCTTTTCCATTTTTCCCCTCATTATTCCAATTTATGCCATGGTCAGATCACAAAGTTATCATATTTTGGTTATTATTATTATTTTTTTAATATAGGTAAATCACATATAATTGCTTCCACAGGTGGTAGAGGGCATACCACTCAAACAAGGTTTTAGTAATATATCTTGTATTTTCGCTCAACATACATTACCTATTCATACACAAGATAGCATGTACTGTGTGAGAGGCGAGGGAGGTTGTGCAGCAACTAAATTGCACTTATATACATGGAATTGACAACTTGAGTTGGAATAAAGGACCAAATTGTTTCAAACTTGGTATTTTTATTCTCTGATTACAAATTCTAATGCACAAAATACATGCTAGCAAATGAGAAATTTGAAATGTTCGTTGAACCTTCAACTGAATCAAGAGTGGAAGGTAACAAGTCGAAATTTCTTCGTGGGAAAGTTGGTTCTTTTTGCAGGGAAAACACCGCCACGATCTTCCTTCGATCATCAGAACCGCTATATATTAGTAACTTGTTCACAACCCTAAACTAGTTAATACAGGAGATAATCCTAAATAGTCAGTCAAAAATCTATAGAATATAACATATATATTAAAAAAAAATCATATATTATATTAAAGTAATAAAAATCCAAAACTCATTTGAAATTACATTATCTTTCTAAACTTTATGACGGGCATAAACTGACATCATTTAGCATTCACTTTGTTTCCATTCTCTCTCAAAATTGTTGGAGAAACATATGCAGTTTCCAGTGATTGCCATGGATCTGCAGGGAAGCTGAGTCTTATATCTTACATGTCGAAAATAATCGGTAGAAGTCACTCAGATTGATTAAATCAACCAAACTGTCCTTTCCTTAGCAGAGAAATCTCAAGTATCATGACTCAATAAGATTTGGACATTCAAAGAAACCAAGTGAACTAACATGAGCTATTACAATTAATTTGTTCAAACCAATACTTGACAAATCTCACTACAAACAGGGGACTGGTCAAGTGAATGTAAAGGACTAACAACAATCTATTTACCACTTGAAATAAGATCAGACGATAAAGCTAGCAGGTGCCCTATTTTTTTAGAGTTGAAACTTGAAAGGAGTGATTAAAAGTAGTTCCTTCTTGGATCACCGTCCCAAACTGAATAAATCCAGGGAAAAGACATAAATTCTACCTAAAACAATTTGATAATTGGCAGAGTACATAAGATAGTTGTTTGGCACCAAAGAACTCATCATGACTCAAAAACTGGGGTTGAAATGAAAGCCGAGAGGACGTGGATAAGGAAATTTTCAAATAATGAAGTTCATTCGCTCCCATTTTTTGAATGCTGCCCTTTACTAGCATAAAAAGATTCAAAACTAGGTTTTTTATTTATATTTCTTCTCAGCAGGTGTAGCATTTTTATTAGCGAACATAATTCGTAGACACATTTGTAAGGAAGCATGGGAGGATTTTTATACACTCATGTTTACAAGTGAACTATGGATAGCTCAACTTGAGTAGAACTTCAAAGCATGAATCATGCTCAGGAATGGAGTCATCTTACACACTGCTAATCATACAAATAGTCACTTTCCAACTAAAATATGTCAAGACCAACATCATGACTATATTGCCAAAAGTACTTTTTTTTTTTATATATAAATATAAATTCATTAAAGGAGCTCAAGAGGGGAGACCTCCCAAAGAACAAAAGGCACCCAAGGCGACACTATAATTTCAAGCTATCTACAAAGTCCAAAAGAATTTCCATAGATGTACAATTCCGCTCATTAACTCAAAAAAAAGAGAGAAATATAGCCAAAAGTACATTGAAATGAGAAGGGAAAGGAAAATATTTTGTTATGCACTAACAATTCTAATTTCTAACATTCAAACATGTAAATGAACACATTTTTCACCCCGTCAAATGCATGCAATGGAAGAGCATGAACTCTAGGAAAACCAAATGAGAGGACCTTGAAAAAGAGAATTAACATAAAATGAGCTTTATTACAAGTAACAACAGAAAGTTTGTATACATACATATCCAAATGTACGAGCTCGTCAAATATGCCTGAGCTCTCTTGCCGCCACCAAAACAAGAAGCACACGAACTCTCCATCATCCCTGCCTATGTATATACATCCATGTCCTCAAACCAAAAACATTATTTTTCATAGATAAAAATATGTGACACATGATGTAATACACTTATATGAAGAAATGAACAATGTTGTATACGCTATACTATACTACTAGCTGTTTATGAATTAGCCCACCAGCTATGAACAAGTAGCTAAGCAATCTTGAGAAATCAAGTACCCCTCATGATCAAGAGTTTCCCTCACGGCCTGATAGAACTCAACCCATGACGAGGAGTACACGTCCGGAGGGCTCCACAAGAAGGTAGGGTTGGGGCTTGCAGGGCACGCAGTAACCAGTTCAAGCACAGACGCAGCCGGTTTCAGCTGCTGGGGGAAATTGAAGGCCAAATTATCAACTTTGTGTTCATAAATTTTCCCATTTCGATCCAATTTATACCTAGAAGTGCCCTGAAACTTCCCCTTTGCTTCCCAAGGAACCCTAGGAACACCTTTCAAGTTCCATCTAACCAATATCACATTCTCAGAAGGCTGCCAAATCCTAAACACCTCTAGCGAAATCTCCCGAAACAGAACTCGACCATGAAACCTCAATGCCCAGAAGATCAATTTGTATTTTTCGATTCCATTAAACGTGTTCAAAGGGTCTAGAAACGTAATATCATCCCTGTCAATGATGAAAACAAAACCCTAGAATTTCTCAGAAATTGAAACCCTAATTAACAACAAAAAAATGAATAGATTGGTGAATTGGGAGAAAAGGGTACCTGTAAATGTCGTAGTTGAGGTCTTTGACGAAGAGCAGAGGGAGGTCCTCGCGGAGTGTCCGTACGGCGAGGCCTAGGTTGACATAGAAGTCGTTCCTCTGCTGCTTATCCTGCTCACCTGAGGTTTTGTTGACCTGCGCATCACGACGGACTGGAGGGTTTTCGAGCTTGGTGAGAGGAGAGAGAGAAGAAGATGAGGGTTTTGTTAACGGAGGAAGGTGAGAGGAGGGAGAGTTGTGGTGGTGAATGGTGGTGGGTTTGTCTTTTGATTGAAGGAGTAGAGTAGGAGAGAGATTGGGAAGAAGAAAAGCCATTCCTAGTCTGTCAATTGTGGTCTCAATTTAGCATTTCACAATTCATGAGAGAGAGAGAAAAACTAGTGTTGGTTGCTCGTTGAGGCAAAAAATTTCTTTGGAGATTGAGTGGTTTAAGTTCTCTAAGATGGCCGTGTGTATATATATATATATATATATATATATATATAATTTAATTTAATTGTAATTACTTGCGGAGTATTTTAATAGAAAAGAAAAATTATGTAGCAAATGAGAATTTTGTATTTTGAACTTTTAATTCTTTGTATTTTGTTTATTTCGTCGTATTCTATTTTTTGTATTAAATATTTCTTTTCAAATTTTTTTTCCTAACAAATTTTTATTTTTATTTTTAAATGAGAGATTATATCATTTAAACTAATGTCTATTGTTTAAATAATGATTTATTTAAGTGTTAAATTTTTTTTTTTTTTTTTCAGAAGTCAATTTGTTGGGAATTTTTTATAACACATTAACACATAATTTATAGCAAGTAATTATTTATTTTTATTATTTGGGAAATTTAATGCAAACATTAACAAGTAAATATATAAATATGGAAAGTTTTAAAAGTTGTTGTAATATAAGAACAACCGTACGTGTTATACCATCCAAATAAATCGCTAGACTTTTCACTACTCAAATCATTTCAGACTGTTCATTCTTGAACATAAAGTTTTCTTTTGTGTCTGTCATCATGTAAGATATTGTTTTGCACCAACTGTGAATTAAGAGTTTGCATACCATGGTACCAAGGACCAATTTCAAGACACGTGGAGATTTCTTTATTTGTGCTGACATGAAACTAATTATATATATATACATATACATATATAATGAAACTAGTTTTATGTCAAAATAAGTAAAGATTATAATGAAACTAGTTTTATGTCAAAATAATGAAACTAGTTTTATGTCAAAATAAGTAAAGAGGTCTCTATATATAATTAGTTTCATTATATATATATATATATATATATATATAGTTTCATGTCAGCACACCATGGTACTAAGGACCAATTTCAAGAAAAGTGGAGACCTCTTTACTTATGTTGACATGACACTAATTAATTAATTATATATATATATATATATATATATATATATAATGAAACTAATTATATATGGAAATCTCTTTATTTATGTTGACATGAAACTAATTATATAATATATATGGATGTCAACGTAGGTAAAGAGACCTCCATGTAATATTTGCCTTTGAAAGTATTGAATTGGAGTTTTAAATTTAAAATTTTAGTCAAATATCTTCCAATTTTAAATCTAAACATATTATGACAAAAAATTTATACACCAGACTTTCTTGTCGTCCAAACCTTTCTCTTTCTCTTTGAAAATGGGGATTTTATTCCATTGGTCTAGATTACATACTCCTTTCATCTCAAAATACACATTCTATTTTTTGAAAATTCAACTTTTTTACGAGAATAATTATTATTATTATTTTATTGTATTTGTATTCACTAGGGGTAAATTTGATAATTCATTTATTACTAATACAATAAAAATAAATAAATAAAAAAAATCATTCTCGAAAAAGTTAGATTTCTGAAAAAAGAAAGAAAGTTAAGTTGGTAATATTGCAAAAAATAGTTCAAAGCAAAAAAGTTAAGAGGACTTGTTTGATTTGTAATTCAGAAAACAGTTCTCAATATCTCATAAAATAAAAAATTGTTCTCTATGAGAACATATGTTTTTATAACTAGGTTTTCAAAAACTGAACCATGTAGAGTTTTTGTACAATTTTGTGTTTTTAGAATTGAAAATAGATTTACAAATCAAGCCCGCCTTAAATTATCATAGTGGATCCAAGTAAGAGTATATTTGAAACAGATAAATACATAAACTACCCAACTATCCTCAACTGTTTATTGCTCCAAAAATTATACAGATTTTTTTTTTCTTCTATTTGTTTAGCAGTTATATTTATTACTTCGATTTTACTACACAGTCTTAAAGAGGATACAAATGATATACGGAATAAAATGGATTTCACGTACCATTAAAATGGAGTGTGAGTGTATATATATATATATACTCCTATTTAGCTCTATACATATATACGTATTGATGAGACTGGGCCCACTTCCCAGCTTAACCCTCCCCTTCCTACTGCAACCAAACCAGAAACCTTATAATTGAAAGCAATCTCCGGTAAATAATGATTAAATTTACTAAATAATATCGCAAATAAATTCTTTAAATTCATCAGGTGGTGAATTGTGGAGGCCCAACAACACTATCATTTAGAAAGAAAGAAAGAAAAAAAAAAAATTAATTTTTATATATATCATGATTCTTTTTAATTATTTATTATATTTTTAAAATTATTAGATTGAATTGAATTATCTGATAAGTTAGTAATAAATAATTAAATGATATAAATATTTAAGTTATCGTATTAAATCAACTTAAGTTGCTGGAGTAGACGGTAGTTAACAACTATCAGACCACCAAGTGAGGTCCCGTGTTCAAATCAATTCGTTCTGCCTGAGGTCCCGTGTTCAAACCAATTCGTCCTGCCTGAGAGTAATAATTGAATACTTGTGTTACGCCCTCCCTCCTAAAACTTAAGTTATGTTAAACTTTTAAATAAATTTTATTATATTTTCCTTTCATGTCTAATTTTTTTTTAAAAAAAATTTGCTGCAAAAGTTATAATGAAATCAATTTTCATATAAATACCTTTAGTTCTTTATTTATTTATTTATTTATTTTTTTAACGCTAGTTCTTAATTTCTAATCCTCATTCAACACATTTCGAATGTGAGTCACCATTTAATATAATGCAAACTTCCAAAATAATAAAACTTATATTCATTCGTTCTATGCTACAACTCACTGACTGATAAAGGCATATAACAGAAAATAGCAGGACTTATATTCATTTATACTCATCCAAGAAAAACTTTTATTTTGATATATAATGCAAACTTTCCAAAACTAAAAATAAATAAAAAATCTAAAGAGCCAATCAGAAGGTTCTACTAGATCAAGCCCATATATATGTATTGATGAGACTGGGCCCACTTCCCAGCTTAACCCAACCCCTCCTATATCTGAAAGCAATCTCCAAGTCTCCAACCTACAATACGTCAGACACCTGTCGGTCAAATTATCCCATCCTTATTATCGGGCCTTAGTAATACTCGTCACTTCAACCAACCGATAAATAAGGATGAAATTTATTTAAAAAATGTCACAAATAAGTTAAGTATTATATATCATTGAAATAATGAAATTTATTTTAATAATTAATCTTTAGTGAATGATATAAATATTTAAGTAATCATAATAAATTAATTGAGTAGGCGGTAGTTAACAACTATCAGACGGTCAGGTGAGGTCCGTATTCCTAATAGTAATAATTGAACACTTTTGTTACATCCTCTCTCCTAAAACTTAAATTATATTAAACTTTTAAATAAATTTTATTGTATTTTACTTTCATGTCTAATTAAATAAATAAATAATTTGTTTCATTTAAAAATAGATGATGTATCATTTGACATATACGGAAGCATGAAAGCAAAAGTCATATTTGTCCCTAAAAAAAAAATTTTTTGTCCAATTTTTTTTTTGTTTTTCATATATAAAAGTCAATTTGCATACGTTGATTCTTCGACTCGTACTATCATATTTTAATTGTCCCTCAAAAAAAAAAAAAAAATCAATAACCCTGAAAAATAAAATATGGTAATTTTTTTATTTTTTTTTTATTTTTTTGGAGATAGGAAGAGTGATTAACAGGAAACTAGCAATGCAAACTTCCAAAAAAAAATTATATTCATTCATACTATGCTACGACTCATTTACTGACAAGGGCATATGACAGAAAATAACAGAATATTTATTCATTCATACTCTTCCAAAAAAAAAAAAAAAACTTTTATTCGATATATAATGCAAACTTTTAAAAATTAAAAATAATAATAATAATCTAAAGAGCCAATTACCAAATATGTATTTAGATATATATCTACACACACATATTCATTCATAAACCCAATTGTATATATTATTTTTTATGCCTATTGCATGATGTGTATTACTTAGTAAAATCATTTTTCTACTTTCATGCTCTCAAAACTAATGAAAGAATGTTGTCCTACAATTTTTTTTTTTTTTAAAAAATTATGCTAACCAAATGCATAATATAAACTTAATTTTATTTTTTTTCACTCACTTTCTTTTCTTTTTTCTTTTCTTTTCACAATCCAACGTTGATTTCTGGCAAAGGAACTCCTAACAAAAAATTATAAAAAGAATTCTAATAAAAGAAATTTGAATTTGTACTTTTATTTAAAAAAAAAAAAAAAATCTACAATAGTAAATTGCTCAAAATTCATCTTTCTCCAAACCAAACCAATTAAAAATATTTAATATTAAAAAATATATAAATTTTGGACTTTAAACGATAGAATTTGACTGAAAAACATCTTACAGCCTTAGCAAAGCTGGTGTATTTTGCGAGTTAGGCCGTTTCGAATCAAAAAATCTTGTTGGATCAAAGTAAAGTAGAAAGTGGATGGTTTAAATTTCTTTTAACAAAAAGTTTTTTCTTATTGTTACTTTATTTTTTCTCTCACTAATCTCACACCTTTTGAACTCCTAATTTTAAATCCTCTTGCAGATCAATGCTTGTTTTAATTTATTGATTTTTTGTTGTCCTTACTATTAAACCACTTCCTTGAGCTTATTGCAAGTAGAGAATACATTTAAAATAAAAATTATTAATATTGTATTAATATAATTAATATGAGAAGACTTAATTTAACTATTTGAACAACGGTTGTAGATATTATAGTTTAATGATTTTAAGGGTATGTTTGTTGTCCATGTGGATGTCAAGAAATTAATTACTACAATTTTCCCAATTAAGTTGAGAAGTGATATATATAAAAACAAAACAAAACAGAGATAGATTTACTTTTATGAATTATAGCTCCTATTTTTTATTATATTTATTTAACCAAAACCGAGTTGATTTGATTGAAAAGTAAAAAAAACAAAAGAAAAGCAGATGCATGGATAAGAGCCTGAAATGGATATTCTTTTAGGTCCGGAACTTTTACAAGAATCTCAAGAGAATGAAAGCACATTCTTTCTTGTATAC